AACTTCTGCGTCATATCAAAATTCAGAATACAAACTTTGATGTAAAGAAAACCAATGAACTCCGGAATGCAGGGCTAAGAAGGGAAAAAGTCAAATAGCACAGCAGCATTTCTACCCCAACAACAAACCACCAAATGTAATTCATTTATCAAGGATACTGTGGAATCTGTGTTCTATTACCTTATTGGACACCAAAAAAATTTCAATAATTGCAACAAATACAAAAGAGAAGGGGGGGAGGGGGGGTAAGAATAGAACACAACCGACCAGGACTCTCAGAGAAAATCTTGTAACTCTCCTTACGATGTTTTATCCATCAGCTGAATTGGGGCTAGAATGTTAGCCTTGCTTGTCTCAACAATACACCCATTCATGACCATTTCCTCCAGCATGAAATGAGCTTTCTCTAAGTGGAACATGATGTCTAGCTCACACTGCAAAATTATATAGGCAGGAAATTTTATAAATTAAATACATAATAATCAGCTTTTCCATGCCTAATAATACAGAACATAAAGAACTGGAAGGATTGACTTACCACATTGCCAAAATGTCGGTCCATGGTTTCAACTAACAGATGTATAAATTCCAAAATAGCAAGTTCATTCTGCAACAGAGATGAGAAGGAAGATAAAAAAAGGGAAATAAATGCAAGCACAATCTGCAATGCAGAAGAGAAGGAAGATAAATTTATATATAAATGCAAGTTGATAAAAGAAGAGCAAACTCAAAACAAAGGCTTGAATATTAAGTCAATTAATTCATGATCAACTAATAAGTCTCAAGTCATAAATCTCATTCAGGGTCCTCCTTCTCCCTCATTTTCATGCAGTCACAAAACATTAAAGTCTATACATGCAGCAATGCCTCACTGGCTGAAGCATCTAACGTTAGTTCAATGTGTTCCCAGAGTCAGAAAGTGTTCTAGACTTGTAAACCAAGAAATAAGCACCAAGGTCCTCAAGCATAATAAGCTTTAAATCTCAAAGATGTCAATCTTATAAATATAAAAAGTACAACTACAATTAATGTTTAAATAAAAAAAACTTGAAAATTGCAATTGAATTTCATGAAATCCTAGCCCAACTCATATTCTTTTGTATATAAAAAATTCATACTTTAAAGCATAACAAGCCTACAAGCATTTCACATGGGAATAAACTAAATAGAATGATCATTAAAGGCCACCTCATGAGTATTCCACCAGAATTGACAGTGTTACGGCCAAACTTCTGTTATTTTAAAAAGCTTACAAATCTTGCAATGATTATCCTTTTCTGATTTCTGTGTTTTGCACTAAACAGGAACATGAAAATTCAATAGAAAGTTGAATTAATACTCTCATACACATTACTATATCATGCTTCATCTTTAAGAACCAAGATAATACCAGAATAACAAAAGAAATTGTACACACCTCATCATTATCAACGCCAACCAAGAAAAATAATGATGCGTAACGCCTATATACAATTTTGTAGTTGCGATGCTCAACAAACGAACACTGTTTCCAACATAAGAAAATATTCAAGCACCCGTGAAATAGGGGGTTCTCCAATCAGAAGAAATCAAAGACACATAGAAACATGAACTTGTACGTGCACTCCAAATTCATCAGAAAATTGACAAAGTTAAGCAAACAATAATAGTTATTTGAAGCAAACAAAATCAGTCAAGTACTCTATTATAAACAAAGTCCATTCCAAGCAGAAACTAGCAACTCCCATCCCAGGCAGCTAAGATAAATTTTGATTTTGAAAACATGCAAGGAAACCAATTTCCGGAAATTCTTGGATTCAACTTTGAAATCGTAAAGTGACATGCAAGGCTATCATTCAGCAAAATCGTTGATGGGTCATGGCACATCAAAATTGTCCATTCTAAATCTAGACAGTTAAATCCAAAAATTGTTCGACAATGATGCTGCAAGTACTAAAACAATTCGAATATCAGAGTGCATGAAGTAAATCTGCTTCCTTTACACACAATTCAGACGATGGGACACGAAAATCAAATTAGAAAACGAAATTGTCACCTTCAGAGCTAATGAATTAATTGGGAGTGAACGAGTAATGAAGGGGAGAGAAAGGGGAGGGGGGCAACCTGTTGCTCGGTGCGGGCAAGGCACTTCCGGACGATCTCGCCCTCGAGGGCGCGGCGTTCTTCGAGGGTGAGCCATTCGTAGTACTGGGCGAGGCGGGTCTGACCCTGTTTGTTCACCATTAATACGAATCTGATCCCCATATTCCTGAACTGGATCTATCCCTTTAACCCCTCACAACAATTTGCCCTTCCCTGGTCTGATGTTTTTATGCTTCGTTGTTAGGGAAATTGCAGAATGATATGACATCCCGGTTCTAATTTTAATAGCTTTACAGTTTCTTTTTTCTTTTTTTTTTCTTTTTTTTTATATCTGTTTCGTGTTTTTAAGTTTGAAATTATTTTTGGCAAAAAGAGCAAATCAACCGCTGTACTTATGGAATGGTGGCAAATCAGCCCTTTAACTGAAAACAGAGGCAAATCAGCCCCTCAACTCATAATATGGTAGCAAATCAGCCCTTGACGTTGGCAAAGTGTTAATTCCTGACAGAAAGATGGTTTTGGTGGGGTCCAACGCTTATGTGGCAAATTTTTATTCTACATTGAACTAAATCTTTTCCATTTCTCATTTATAATATATTTTAAAAATATATAAGATTTTTTTAGTTCTTTAATACTTTAAAATATATTTAATATATTTATATTTATTTTAATTAACATTTTATATATTTTTAAAATGAGAAATGATTTATTTACATGTAAGTTTTATACATTATATTTATATAAAATTTTAATAATTTATTTTTTTATTTTTAATAATTAAGATTTAACATAATTTTTTATATGAAAATAGTAATTATATTTAATAAATATAAATAAATCTTAATCATTAAAAATAAAAAGATAAATAGTTGAGATTTTATATAAATATAATATATAAAATTTATATGTGAGTGAATTTTTATTTTTTTTAAAAATAGTAAAAAAATATAAAAATTAAAATACTAAAAAATATTACCAAATGAAACTTAACATGACTAAATTCTTGTTTTTATTTTTAAATGCTTAATATTTTTATGTTAAGTTGCAATACTTGAAACTCAGGCATATTGCTACAGTAAAAATTCGAATGGAACACGAATTACTATAGAAGCATCTTACTAACAAGGACTCTTTACTTGGGTGCTTAGTGGAAAAAAGTTAAGTTTGATATAGAAAAAAAAAATTAGAAATATTTTTTAATATTATTTTTTAATACAATCTTATATATTATTTAA